GTGATTTATTTTGTTTGGGAATTGATGGTAATGTATGCTGAAAAGCTGTATTTAATAGCTGAAATTTTGAAATTTGAATGGTCCTGAAATTTTTGATAGCTTTTTGTTTATACTTAAACCTTGATCTATTGAATTTAGAAGGATTCGAACACATTATTTGAGTATTCTCTTATCTGGAGTAAGATTCTAAGATATGAACTTAAGTAATATGCTTCTAAAGAGCAATAGTTAAAACTGGTGGGTTTTGAACCTATGGATTGCTCTGTTGGTGTTGCAATAGTTTGGTACCAAAGTATTGAAGCATTTCGCAACTGAGCCACTTAATCTTAAGATATTAATGTGACTTAAATTGGTTATTAAGATACTAAACCAATGCTTTATCGAGTATCTTTACCTTAAGTTAATAATTTCAATAAGAACTACGCTATGATTCCTGAAATTTTGTCTTAAAAATCCAACAGAAAATCTTCATCATCGACCTAATTCAACACTCCTTATTCTATGATCCGACAATCCTATCCATTGCAGCATGCGCCTTAAACTCAAAGAAATCAATTCTTGAAGTCATTCAATGCATGTTACACCATAAAATCCATAAAGACATTCCAATTGCAGCCAAAAAATCAACAAAAAATTACAAACGAAAAACTTTAAAACAAACAATTTAAGGCCATTCTTTGCGATTTCCTCAAGGAAAATTTTTTTCATTTAATTTTGTTTCTTTCTCATCTCCTCCTGGAAAAGTTTTTTGTCTTAATAATTTCTAATTTCCATTGAAATATTTCATTTGCTATTCTGTACACGAAAAGAAAACATTCTTCTTCATTCGTAACAATCAAAAATCTGTAAACTTTTTCTTTTTGTTCAATCAACTTAAAAAAAAATTATAAAAAAAATTTATTGACGAAAAAAAAAAACCTTTTTCGTCGAGAGAAATGAAATAAACTAACAAGAATTCATTCTTTTATATTTCTTACTATTACTATTATTTCTATAGTTTAGTTTTTTTTATTTATTTTCTTTCTTTTTCTTCTTCATCTTCCTATATTTTGTCCACATATTGTTTTGTATCACATAACTTCTTAGAATTCTAATAAAAAAGTGTCATTTTTGAGATATGGATGGAACAGCATGATGCCGATCGATCCTTACTGTATTAAAAAAAAATTTTTTTATTCTCACAGAAAACAAAAAAAGTGTCGTGTCCATTCAAAAAGAGTCAAAAAATGAAGTTTTAGGTCTTTTTTTATATTTCTAAGAATTTTTTTTATTATTTATTTATTTTTTTGCCTTTCCTATTTCTTGTGATTGTTTATCTAGAAAATTAAGTTAGATAATAATTCTGATAGTTCTTAGTGATTATTGAGTATCCTTCTTATGACTTTAGTTATTGTTTGAGAGATTTTTTTTTGTCTTTTGTTCTATTGCTGGAATTTTTAATGAAAGATTTTCTTCTTTTTGTTCTAAATTACAAGTTCTGTTGTTATTGTTCTTGTTATGTCATTCAGATTGTGTCATTCACAATTTTCTTCTTATTTTGCTCACTTCTTCAAGTTCTTTTATGACTTCATTACTTTTTGGATTATTTTAAAGTTTTGTAAGACTTTAGATGACTCTATTATTCATAAATTAGAGATTTTGGGAATATCCATAATGGAAGAAACTTTTATAATGGGAATTTTTGATGTTTTTAACAGACTAAGATTTGAGGACAATTTAGAAGGATTTTCTTTATATTGCAACAAAATTTCAGTTCAATTTAGCTTTATGGATAACAAGAGATATTGATCTTGACCTGACTTATTGAATTGCTTTTAAATATCTAGCTAAGATTCATATTTTCAATTGAAAGAAGGTTTGATCTATAACATGATCGATAAGATTCATATTGTCAATTGAAAGAAGGTTTGATCTTAATGTCAGAAACTCATCATAAAACTATAAAAACTAGTAAAATGTTTAAAATTGTTCAAATTGTTGTAATGAGTTACAAATCTTCTATAATTTTCTTATCCATTGCCTATGTCTGAGTATCTCATCTCCAAAGAATTCAACAACAATGATCATCATCATCAGAAAGTTACATCATCTCAAAATCACCAAGTTGTTCTAAGAAATACCAAAATTAATTCTTTAAATGATTTCATTTTGGTCATCTTCACAACCAGAATCATTTGAATTAATTTCGTCTATCCACATCATTTCCATTTTTTGTAAACAGACTGTATTAGTAGATTTTGGTCATGATGATGAAGTATCTGAGGAAATTTTTAATCTTTGGGTTTTTTTTATGGAACTTGAAACTTAAATTAGCGTTTTAGCAATTTTGCAGTCAAACTTGAACTAATATTGTTGAAATTGAATTGAAATTTTGTTGCAAGATTGGAAATCTTACAGCAAATTCATTAATTTATAGAGCTAGACCAGCATTTTAATGAACTTTAAAATCAATAATTTCCCAAATGATGAAAAGTGCAGGAAAAAAGTTAACATCACATCATCCCCAATCAAAATTATATATTCAGCACAAAAAAAATTAAAACCATTGAATTAATTTGAATTTCTATCAACATCAACCGATAATGTGGAAAAGCATTAAAGCAGCAAAAATAAATGTTCAAATATTAAAATATGAGATCAGCCAAAAGTTTAATAATTTTTTGCTTATTTGCCTCCATAATTTATTATCAATGAAAAAACAGAAATTTTTGTTAATGTTTGCATTTAATTTTTCTGGCCATTAAAATATGAAAAATATATTTTTTTAAGGGGGATAAAAAAAATTGTTTTTTTTTTGTGCAAAATTTTGAAATAAAATTTTTAATCATTTGCCATAAATCATGCTGATGCTGATTAAATTTATCCTCGTCTGTTTCAACTTTAAAATTAAAATTTTTTTGTGTCCGTAAAATTCATGGAAAAAGTAAGTCCATAACTTACATAACTTTATGCGACATCTTTGCTCTCATTTGTGTCCATAAAATAATTAATAATGAATTCTCTGCTGGACATTCATGGATGACAGTGTGTATGTGTGTGTGGATGCAAGTAGAACACAATGTGAAGAAAATTGAGGGCACAAAAAGTATCTTTTTTTAATTAATCTCTTCTTTTTCTATTCTTCTCATCTTCCTTTCTTTCCCATTTTGTTATTTTTATTTACCTTCCAAGAATTTTTTTCAAATTCTTCTTTCACTTCATTTTTTGATCCTTTTTTTTGCTTGACAGACAGGTTTCTTTCATCTCAAAGATCATCTAATAATAACTTTTCTTTGAAAAATTTATTTCCATTTCTTTTTCGGTTTCATTTCTTAAAGCAATTTCTTATCAACTTTTACTTTTACTTAATCCAAATGAGAAAATTTCCTTTCATTTTTTTTAAAAAAAAAAGATTTTTGTTCATTCCTGAATATTGCAAATTAATTTTTAACTAAAATAAACATTTTATGTGCACAAACGTTGCATTGCATTTTTTTGTAGTTTTTTGTTTTTGAACGAAAAAGTTTATGGAGAATTTTTTAATTTCTTCATTCAATTTTTTTGTGTGGCTAGGGCGATGATTTGATGGATTTTTTGAAGGGATTTTGATGTTTTTGGAATATTTTTTCAAATTTAAGGTTGAAATTTTTGATTAATTTATTTTCATTCTATCTTGTAGAGTTGCGATCTACAAGAGTTAAAATTCAAACTTAAATGTCATGATTATTAATAGTTACTCACGTGAAGCTAACTTGTGTATAGATTAAAAATTAAATTCAAAATCAATATTCTGTTATTTTTTAATAAAAATACTCGATTGAGTTCAAAAGAAAACATAAAAAAATATTCCACATGTGTTTGCAGAATGGTTTAAACAGGAAAGAGAAATAACAAAATATTTCAAAATAAGCAAAACTTTAAATAATTTTCAACAAAACAAAACTTTGCAACAAAATAGAGAAAATAAAAAGAATTGTTTTAAATCTTTTTAATTTAAAATGATTAAAATTTCATTTAATTTATTGGAACATTCAAAGTAGTCAACATTTAAGTCAGTTCGCTGAGAAGAAAATTTTAAAAATGTAAGAAAAAATCAACAAATGTTTTTAAAACTGTCTTAAAAATGTTTCAAAAAATAGTTTTAGAAATCTTCATTTTAAGAATTCATTCAAATTTTGAGAATTCATTCAAATTTTGAGAATTCATTCCAATGTTAAGAATTCTTCCAAATCTTAAGAATTCATTCAAATTTTGAGACTTCATTCAAATTTTAAGAATTCATTTAAAATTTGAATATAATTTAAAATCAAGAATCAATGAAATATTAAAAATCATTTAAAATTTGAAACTCAAAATTAATTTCAAAAATCTTTTCAATTTGAACAAATATCATAAAATTTAAACTTTAGAATTCTAATTTATAAAATTAAAATTCAATTTAATTTTAATTTATCAAATCTTTTTAAAAATGAGTCACTGAAAAATATTTCAATGCAATTCAAAGTAACTTAAACTTTTAAAATTCTCAACATTTCTCCATCAAATCTTCCAAAATTCTTTTTCAGCAAAACTTCCATCAAAAAATCCATCACATGGACACCCTAAGCTCATCTTCCGAACGATAATAATAGCAATAATAATAATAATAATAACATTTGTTGTAGTTCTTTTTAAGTATAATAATCAGAAAGATAATAGTTATGTCTGATAATAAAAATCTTTTCATTCCACATTTTCGCTATAGCTATGAGAAGAGTTCATAAAAATTGGAATTTCATCGTATCGTAAATGTTTAATTTATCAATTATTTGGAGTAACATTTTTTGGGACGTTTATTATTATTATTATTTATTTATTTTCATCTAAATCTTCATTTTTTTGTCATAATTAATTATTTAATTTCTTTAATATTTTATTTCGTATAAAATCTTGTTCTAGATTTTTTTATTTATTTAAATTATTTGGGAAGCATGCAGCCATCCATTCAAATAGTATTTAGTATAAGTAGATGCATTATACATTATTTATAGTCTTTTATGTTTCCAACATTTATACGTACACACAATAATAATAGTAAATTTAATAATAATAATTATAATAATAATAATACCACAGTCAGAGCATCATCATCATCATCATCATGAATGATCAGTATTCAGTATTATCTTCAGTTGGGTAGACAACAAAATAATTCTTGTTTTTTGTATACACAACATCATCAGCATCATCTTTTCACCTTACAAGCCATAATCCGAGGTTGACAGATTTTAGTTTTGGTAACTTCATGATGATGTCTATCCCTTTCGATGTTATTTTCGTACAGCCATACAAGTCAATTGATTGTAAATTTACCAACTCGTTTGCTAACATCTCTAATCCTTTATCGGATATCTTACTGCATTGTCCGACATTTAATACCTCGAGATCATGCATTTTGCCTAGCTTCTCTAATCCTTCGTCACTAATTTGACATGAACTAAGACTAAGTGATTTTAGATGAAACAGTCCTTGAGATAAATGATGAAGTGCCTGATCGCCAATTTTCTCGCAGAAACTCACATCTAGTGAGCGTATTGAACAGCCACCTTCTTCAGCTAATCCAGCCATACCTATGTCCGAAATATTATCACATGCACGTAAATTTAATTCTTCTAATTTTGGCATTTTTGATAAGAACTTAAGTCCACTATCTGTCACGGATATGCAGAAGCTTAAATTAATTACTTTTAAGCTTGTGAGTCCTTGTGCTATATGCTTAAGTGACTCATCTGATAATCTTTGGCAATCTTGCAATCCTAAATATTCTAATTGCAGGTTACCTTCGGCCGTCTCCTTACTTAATCCAGCTAAATGTCCAATACCTTGATCTGATATATGCCAGCATGACCTCAAGTTCAATCGTTTTAACTTTTTCAATCCCCATGCTATTAGCAATAGACCGGTATTTGTTATATTACTACATCCGCCCAATTCTAATACTTCTAAATTTTTCAAATGTTGTGCAATGCGACCTAAACTTGAGTCAGTTACTTGCTTACATAATGATAAATCTAATACTTTTAAATGTGGCAAATCGAGACTGAATGCATGCGCTAGTCCTGTATCAGTGACATTATAACATCCAGATAAGTTAAGTTGCTCTAAATTTGATATTCCAGTTACGACATCTTTTAATGTTCGACGTAATGATAAAATTTGGACATGACGTATACCACGTTTCATGAGAGATTGGAAAAATGATGGCGACGAGCGTCTTAGATGAAGTTTTGCCTCAACTCCCTTCCATACGCTTTTCGAATAGCATGCATCTCTCCATGATGTACACACTTGTGCGGCATTGCCACGATCACGTACATCCAGATATGAAAATATCATTGTTAAAATTTCTGGATATAAATGTCCAATGTGTGTGCCCTCGGGCAATGGCGGTGATGGTGATGCAATTGGTCGAATAATCGGTGCTATTGTTGTCGGTAAACGTCGCGGTATATAAACAGGCGCTGGCGCTGATTGTAAATGCTGATGAATATTATAAGGTGCATATCGATGTATACTTAAATTACGTGTGTGATGTGTATACTGATGTGGATGATGATGTGTGTATTGGTGAGGATGGTGATGATGAGTAAACAGTCCAGGAATCTCCGTTAGCATTAAATGTGGCTCGTCCATTTTTTTCACTTTATAATCACACAAAACAAAATTGTTTTTTTATTTTTCCTTGAATGTATTTTTTGTTCGTTCTCAATTGACTTTAATTTATTCTGTGCTGTAGCTTATTTCTCGTTTGAACACAGAAGTAAGAAAAAAAAACATAAAACAGAACTGAAAATAACGTTAGAATCAGAGAGGAGGAAAAAAAATACACTTTCAATTGCAAATATCTTCAAAATTCATTTTCAATTGTAATTATTTTCCATGTTATTTATTTTATTTCATTGTTCCTCACTCTTTGCACTCACTCACTCACTTAATTCTGTGTATATTTAATTCCTTTCATTGTTTTGAATTTTAAATTTTTTAATTTTATTTTATTTTATTTTTTCAAGTTTTTTTGTGAAGAAACGATATCCCGCACTGTAAGTTATTCCAAATTTTATTATTCGGTCGTTGAGTCTCTTTTTTTAACAATTTACTAGCTTTTCTATGTATGAAAGAATTACACACTTTATGCACGCATTCAATTGATAAAACTTTGCTAAGGTTATTTTATTTTATTTTATTTTTTTTGTTTTGTTTTTCTGTTGTAACACCATCGGAGTCTCTATGTGGATAGACTTAAAAAAATAAATTTTTTAACTTTACTCTTTTTTCTATACTTTTATTTATTTCTTATAGAGTCTCGTGGAGCGTCTTTAATTTTCGAACCGTACCGAAGAACGTTCGCTTTACATCTGATTTTATGTTCACTGCTTTTTTGCTTTGTGTTGAATCACAAAACAGAATTGCTCATTTTTATTGAGAATTGAGAGAGAATTGAGAGAAGGGTCGATGCATGTTGTTGTGGATGGCAAGAGAGACTTGATTGGGGAATTTTTCTTATTGGAATTTTTCTCCTCAATCAACTTTTACAATTATTTTATTTTTTATAATTTTTTGAAAATTTCATTGTTCAAAAATTTTGAAAATTTAAAGAAATTTCACAATAATTTTTTTTCATTATCCCTAACCCCTCAAAAAGTGCATTCGTCTCTCATCTCTTATCTAATAGTATAAAACATTCATTGTATATACACAAAATCATGTCATTGTATTGGTGATCAAGAGAGCAGAGAGAATGTAAACAACTTATTTAAACAATAAAAACAACGTGGATGAGAAAAAACGTTGAAAGTGAAATTTAAATTTTTAAAACATTGAGAACATTATAAATGTTTGGATTGAAACATTTGAAGTGTTTGTGTGTATGACAGGGAATCAAATGTGTGTTGGTGGAATTTGAATTAATTTTATACGTTATTTATGTTGAGGATGTGTCTTGTTAAAATTTCGATTGTCTTGTCATAACACCAAAGAAACCATTAAATCTAGAACAGTTCTAATTCAGAGGTGCGCCGAGGCGATTTGCATCAAATGGAAGTTTAGAAAAGAGGATGTGCCTTACAACTGCACTCGAACCTAGACCTACAGTTTATAGTAAATCTCCCAAACCCATAAAACTTAAACCAACTTGAATAATATGACTGAATAAGCACATTTAATTCTTTTTATCAATTTTTCAAGATAAGATGTTGATGATTGAAGCCTTAAGCTTCATATACAGTAAATATGATTCAAAGAGTGGATAGCTATCCTGTAAAAAGTCTCTAAGCTAATCAAGAAACTGCAAACTGCTTTGCGAAGCCCTAGAAACTTGCCCAAGGATTCATTCGGGGTATTTTTTTCTGATAAGCACTCGTTTGAGAGTTGTTCATTGAAAATAATTGTTAGTGCCAAGCAGTGCCAAGTTTCAACTTATTGTCTGCTTGGTTTTTATCATCATTCTTTCATCATATACAGCTACAGTTTCGTATTAAAACTCCTTTTTGAAGACATAATCAAAAGTTTCGAATCCAGAATGACTGAAGGTTGCAATTGCCAAGAATCCAAAAGCTAGCCAACAGCTCCACTGAGCCACTCCAGCTACCTCATCATTGAAAATCACCAATTCAGACATCATTGCAATATAGAAATCCATAAATAACATATAACTGACCAAGGTAATTCCACAAGCAATGCAAGTAAATAAAGATTTCCAGATCAAGAGTTCAATCCATAAACTGCAAATTTTTGACATTCACCAACATCCAAAAGTCAACTTTCTGCAATGAGAAAACTTCAAAAAATGACTAATTCAATAAATATCCAGTCATAAATGGAACTAAATATCGAACAATGAGCACTAAAAGATCATTTTGGAAGAAAGAAAAAGTTCACACTCATCTCATTCCTGACCATAACGTCGAAGACCAGTTGATGAATTATTCCATGAACGCTTGTCAATTAACCATTTAATAATGATATTATACGCTTTCTTAGAATGGATATATACGTGATGTATAAAGTAATATAACAAATGTGCTAATTATATAATGGACATTCAAAGTCACGCAATGTTCAATAATAATAATAATAATCCTCAATGACTTATTAAATACATTCCTTTGAGGATTTCTTTTTTGACACACTCACATTATGTGATAAATGATCTTCTTGCGGTTCATTTCATTCATTTATATTCTATAAAATCTGTTTATGAATATTGAAATTCATTTCCATTCTTTTTAGCCAAAAGATCATCTGATTCAAACAATGTACAGAACAGAAATGAAAGAGAAATAAAGTTCTAGATGGGGTTGTTCATAAATGATGTCAAACGTTTTAAACTTAATGTTAATTATTGCAAATAGACCCCACAGTACCTCTATAGTTTTTAAAATTCAGACATCAATTAAGAACAACCCCAAAATCATTTATTACAAAAGTCTATGAATGTTCCAACTTTATGTATACATAGATACCTGTTGAATATCTCCTTCAATGGCCTTTTTCTTCTTCTTTTACATGCCGCATTCTCAAATACACACACATAGAACAACTTTATACAGCATCTTTCTTTTATATCGATATGCCTGATATTTCAAACGTAAGAAAAATGCCGACAATTTAACAATTTATAAGTGATTCAGACTCTCAACCTGCTTTGCTTCTCCGACTGCCGATTTCTTCTTTTCGACATTTTCTTTCAACTTTTCGAATTTTTCCGAAACAATTTTTTTTTCTTGTGTTCTTGAGATAGTTTTGCTTTGTATGCTGCTGGATCTCTCTTTTTTGCTGCAATTGACATTCTTCTTTCATTGACTTCTTTTTGCTTCCTTTTTTCTTTTAACTCTCATCGATGTGTATTTATTGCTCCATTATTGAATTGAATTCATATTGCTATTGTGCTTGTTTCAACATTAAATTTATTGGGTTGATGTTTTTTTTGCGACATAGATGTGATGTTAGAGGTGCTTTGGATTGGAGTTTTTTGAATGTTATTGAAGCAGAAAGTCAAAGTGAGGAGATGCTGTTGATTTTGAGAGACGTATGAGTCTTTCAGAGTTTCATCCATCGAAATACTTGAATAAATGCTAAATTTCGATGTCTCATGGTACAGACTATATATAAAAGCTGTCTAAGAGAATCCAAAGCCTTAAAAATCAAGAAGATCAAAACAGAGTCTCTTAAAAATGCGTTCCAACAGCACCTTCCTCAAAAAATCTAACTTCAATTTTCATACCTTAACAAAAACCTATTTCATGATGAAAAATGCAGCATAAAACTTAGTCTTATGCTGCTAAATTTGAAAAAAAAAATCTCAAAGAAATTCCACAAAGAGAAGTTAACCGCCAGGAGCTGCACAACAGAATCTATTGATATCTATGGATATATCTATATCAATTCTTACTTTCTACTTTATCTTCACATTCGTTCTCGTTTTGTTTCTATTTCGAACTTAATTCTTCACTTGCATGGCATGAAAAGGGGAAAAAAATTGCAGCTGATGGCGTCAAAATAATAAATTTATGAGATGTGAAGTGAGAAGAATTGGTTTTGGATATGCTGGAGTTGTGAATAATTTCTTATGAGGTGCTTGAGGGCATAGTTTGAAAGGAAATTCTTCAAGACATGCTGCATGATGGTGATGATTTAAGTGGTTCTGAAGAATGAATTAATTGTGAATTTTTAATGATTAAGCTTTATGACTGTTAAAGTTAGTCAAGAAGCTACAGACAAATTATGGCAGAGATTTTCAAATCGTTAATGACTTAATAATCTGCATAAGGGTTCATTCACTAATGATGTCGAAGACTAAAGTTGGGAAACTTACTTCCTTTGCTTAGACTTACTAGCTCAAATTGCTACAGATCAACTGAGCATCAATAAATGAGATTATTTGACGTAATAAGTGAACAAGCCCCAACAACAGACTGAGAATTAGCCTCTCCCGAATCCAGCAATGCACAAAAAATATTTATGTTAATTGCCTCAAAAATTCTCAGAAGAATTAATTGAATGTCCAAAACAAATCCCTAGCCAGAAAAGATAGCAGTATGGTATGCCATAAAATTTTCTCACAACTTCATAATTGAATTCTCCTCAGGAATTTCTTCCAATTAAATTTCAATTAACAATTAAATGCTGAATAACAGAAATATTTCTCATTTAATTCTCTATCGAATGCACCTCCCAAATTATTCCTTCCACTCTAATTTATGCTTCCACAATCTGCTGCTCTCAAACCGCAACGTTCAATTCTCATTTTCTGTTTTCTTCTATTTTTCTTGGGCAGTTTTTTTTTTTCCTTTTGTGTGTAGCATAAATAAAATTGAGAATTCCAGGATCTTTTTTCATTCTTATTGTTGCTTGATAATTATAGACTTCTGCCACTATACAAAGTTCACCTTCCAAATGACTTTAGAATTATAAATCTTACTATTGTGTAAACTTCATTTTCGTTTATTAACACAATATTTTATTTTTCCTCCTTGATGTTGTTGTTGATGCTCTTATGAATGGTGTGCAGGATGGGACGATGGCTGGTTTATTGGTATAATTAAGATTTGAAATTATTAGATGAAATGGATATCAGTTTTTATTTCAAAAGCTTCAAAGTTGTTCAAAAATATAAAAATCATTCAAAAAGCTTCGAATTAATTACAAAAGTTTGTCAAAAAGCTTCAAAATCATTTAAAAATCTCCAAAACTATCTAAAAAATTTGCCAAAATGCAAATTCGTTCAAAAAGCTTCAAATTAATTTAAAAA